ATTATTATATTTTAAAAGTATACTTTTAGTCAGAGCACTTCGGCCCCATTGTATTTATAGTTGTATATCTTTTATAGGTTGATATACTTAGTACACTATAAACAATGCTCTGATACCAATCTGTCACACCCCCAAACCGGAACGGCGGAAACGTTCGGGGGTGGATGACTTCATGTTAAGTATCACAACACATGCATCATAGCAATCAAAGTAACAACAACCATCGTATTGATAATATAATATTTACATTGTGTTCAAAACATTACTTAAAATACATTAAAAGTACAACAAAAGTTAAGACGTAAAGCTTCGTCTTCGCAACACCTGAGAGGTACCTGTCTACTAACGCTCCTGAGAATAAAAGTGGTTTGAAAAAGTGTCAACATTAAAGTTGGTGAGTTCATAAGTATTTTTGTTATAAAAAGTATACTCTTGGTTCTTTAGAAAAAGTTCGCCGGTTCCTTCAGAAAATCCTATATTCTATTGATAAGTAAAATGACTGTAGTTAATCCTTCTGTAATCATTTAGTGAATATAAATTATATATAATACAGATCGATTAGACAGTTGAATGTGTGAATCTGCCCTAAGCCCACAACCAAAAAAGGAACAGGAAATGAGGCGGAAGTCACAAATTCCACTGTCTACCGGATCTTCATAATATATAATCCTAATGTATTCATCAAGTAATTACAGAATTAACATTAATGATTCTCTGGTAGAATGGTAACCACAATAGTTCCTTCTATAATCACTTAGTTTATACTAACTATATATAACCTAATATCTAACGGACAGTTAAATGTGTGAATGTGCCCTAAGCTCACAACCAAACAAGGAGCAGGAAATGAGGCGGAAGTCACACATTCTACCGCCTATCGGATATTATTTATATATAACTCTGATGTATAAAATAAAGAATTATAGAATTAACCATTTAATGTCCTTTATGTTATACTAGTTTAATAATAAGTATTAAACCTTTTGTAAATAAGTTTCTAGTTTCACTTACTCTACTATGAAACAATGTTTTCAGTAATAATTGCTATCGTTTTCAGAAAGTTCTATCAAGAACTGTTTACCTTTAAAATAACGATGTTTACCATAGAAAATCCTATTTTTTCTATAAAACCAGCTGGTAGTCTAAATCGTTCCGATACCGAAAAGCACAAGTATAATTATTATACATACTTTAAGGGTATCTAGTTTTGTTGATAAGTTAAACTGGCTGAAGACCTGTTTACCCTGAAAACCTGATATGGCGATACTACCCTCCTATGATCACTTAATACATACGAGTTGTATATAACCGATATCGAACAGACAGTTGAATGGGTGAATCTGCCCTAAGCCCACAACCAAACAAGGAACAGGAAATGAGGCGGAAGTCACACATTCCACTGTTTATCGGATTTCAATTTTATCTAACCTTATTGTATATACTGAGTATCATATAGTTAATATCCCTTGGGAAAGTTTAGGAAAAGTATATTACTACGTAAATATATCGTTATTTCTCATTGTGAGTTAGACCATACTGACTGATACGACGGGTAATGGGATGTCGGTATCGTTTATGACATCTGTCACCCGGAGACCTACCGGTCCAACTGTAGCTAATAGTAGCGGTGAGGGATTGTCAGTCCCATATAGATCTATATACAAGTGTCACGCTCTCCCTCCAGGAGACTCTGGATCATAAAGATGGACTTCCACTAGTACTTAAGTAAGTACCGAAGACGCGTCTCACAAACTAGATTAACGACTTTACAAGTAATAATGCGAAAATCTTTTTATAAACAACTGGTAGTTTTGTAAAAAGATCCATTTGTTCCATAAACTATATTTATCATAGATTATAAGTTTATTTCCATGTTTTAACAAGTTTCATGTTTTCATTCATATTAACGGCAAGATAATGAAGTAAGTAAAATTCCATTTTTAAACACAAGATTTCTTGTGTTTTACTTGTATCCCCCCCTAAAAAGCATTTAAAACCATTTAAAAAGGTAGGTTATAGGGGTATGAACTCACCTTATTTGAGTGATTCAATTGATGGTTCGATATAGGATGATTATTTTTACGAGTGGAGTCCCGAAGCACAAACGAGTCCTAAATAACATATTGTGGCATATATATATGTCTACAGTTAGTGTATTTAGCATCTAAGGTGCAAAGGAAACAGCATATGAAGTAGGGAAAACTTACAAAGAAGTGTTAGAATCGAAAAATGGAAGGCTTAAAGTTGATCACGGCCAGGCTTAATGGGTTCACGGCCTATGGATGGTTTACGGCCCTAAGAAGGGTTCACGGCTCAATGTTCTTGACGAATGATGAACATTTGAAGATCCTAAGCAAGTTCCCTTGAAGATTAAGGGAAGAAGGATGATTTTTTTGAGGGAAAAGAGTGTTCACGGTTGAAGTTCTTGAGAGAAAAAGAGTGTGTTTTCGGCTGGAAGTGTAGAAATGAGGAAAAATCTCGGACTCTTTAATATATAGGTGAGGGTTCACGGCCGTAAACACAACCCGAGGTGATAAGCCTTCTAGAAACCGCCTCACAGTTCACGACCCAAAACGAGTTCACGGTTCGAGGTATGTTCACGGCCAAGGGAGGGTTCACGGCCGTGAACCTAGTTTGCGGCCGTGAACCTCACTCGTTGAGGTTTATGGCTCAAATGTAGTTCTTGGTTCTCGATTCTTACGTGGTTCACTTCCTAACCACACAACCCTTACGTATACTAGGTCTAGAAACCTATAAGTTTGACCTTCGGTTGATGTGTTTGACCTTACAAGATAGAAATTTTGGGTTGTGACACACTGCATCCCCTAAAGATTTATTCCACAACGATTCGATTGTTTGTGATTTACTCTGATGTTTTGAGAATACTTTTATTCTGATCGTTATGGGATGATGAATGAATGGTTTTAACTTAATTAAATGAAAAAAATTAATTGGTATTTTTGGGACGTTACAAGGTTTGGACAAGTGATGAGTTGGAAAGAAACACCCTAGTGCACCGTACAACCAAATGACACATCATCCAAGCTAATGACGCACAAAGCATTACCAATGACGCATCATGTGCCACCAATGGCGCATCAACCTTCCAATAGTACATAAGCAAACATTCAGAAGCTCACCATGATCATCAAAATGGTGCATCATGACTACAAGGTGGCGGACCTTGACCAAGAATGGCACACCTTGTCACTTGGTGGTGAATCATGTGCATGACGCTTCTTTTAATGCTCTAGTTTTCTGTCAGATGCTCTATCCCAACTCCAAATGCTCCATTGATTTTCTGGATGCTCCATTGTGCTTCATAATACTCCATTCAGTTCTAGATGTTCCATTGAATTCTAGATACTTCATTTAATACCTAGATGCTCCATTCAATTTTAGACGATCCATTCAAAATCTCCATTCAATATCTAGATGCTCCAGTGAATTCTAGATGCTTCATTGAATATCTAGATGCTCCATTCAATTTTAGATTATCCATTCAATTTCTAGATGCTCCATTCAATCTAAATGCTCTATTGTGCCTCTTAACATCCCAACATAAACAAAATTGTTAATTGGTTTGAGTAATATATAACAACAGAGAAAAATTCAATAGAGAACCATTATTAATCAAGGAACCAAGGAACCAATCCAAAACGTCGGAATTTAAAGCGATCAACGGCAAAAGGAAAGGTTGTAAAATTTTATAATGGACGCACATGTACCGGATTATAACAAAACTCACTTCCTTTTTTTCATTTAAAATTTTTTTAGGCCAAGTTTTTTATCGGAAAAAAAACCGAATATACCGTTGTTCACGATTTTTCGTCATCTTTCCATAGAGATCAATGATGATATATAAAAAACGAATTTTTTTTCTCGAAAAAACCCACTTAATTTTCTTAGTTTTTTCAATATTTAAGTTTATTTTTATAAAAAAAAACTAACTATACCAAAAAAATATTAATTTTTTGTACTCTATTAATAAACATCAACACCGATTAAAAAAAAAACCTCGAACAGTGTATATTCACACTGTGAATCTAAACTGTAAATATTTCAAATTTTAACATTCACAATATGAAAAATCTCGAACAGTTCAGATTCACATTGTGAATCTGAATTACTATTATGCACATTGTGAATCTGAGAAGGTTCACAAAAAAAAAACCTCGATCAGTGTAGATTCACACTGTGAACCTAAACTGTAAATATTTCAAATTTTAACATTCACAATGTTAAAATTATGCACACTGTGAATCTGACTTATTATTATGCACACTGTGAATCTGAGGAGGTTCACAATGTGAATCTAAACAAGTTTACAATATGAATCTGAACAGGTTCACAATGTGAATCTGAACTGAAATATCATTTTTTTTAAACATGAATATGAATCTATGTTTAAAAAGTACAAAAAATATGAATTTTGATATATTTATTAATTTTTTTCTATAAAAAATAGACCTTAACTTTTTTCATTAAAGAGAATGAAGTGAGTTTTTTTCGAAAAAAAAAGTTCGTTTTTTATATATCATCATGGATCTCTATGGAAAGAGGACGAAAAATCGTGAACAACGGTATATTCGGTTTTTTTTTGATAAAAAACATGACCTAAAAAAAATTTTAAACGAAAAAAAATGGTGAGTTTTTTTGTAAAGGGTGGATTTTTTGGTATAATCCGGTGTGTGTGCGTCCAATGTAAAATTGCATATCTATTTCGTTGGTCGTTGATCGTTATGATTTCCGACGCTCATGATGGGTTCCTTAGTTAATTATGGTTATCTATTGAACCTCACCCTATAACAACATATGAAGTTCACGAAATGTTTAAGAAGTCTAAATATAAATTATTTTTATGTTTTATCGAAAATTATATCCAAAGAATTTAATTATTTACTTTGATTTTTTTTTTTCATAAATCATAAAAGTTTTATATAGAACTAACGAATAAAATAGCCACAAGCCAAGTTTTGAAGAAATTCATTGGTGAATCTAGTGATTATCATTTTAATCAACAAAAACACAATTGACTTGGATCCAAAAATCACTATTTGTTACGTGGTGTTGTTGCCATTTTCAAATAGAAAGCTCGTTTGCCCTAAATACCTAAATCGAGGAAAGTAAACTGAATTTGGGTCCATATCAGTTCCTTCAACAACCTCCAATTCGTGTTCTGCGTGTCTGAATTACTTGGAATCGAAGTCTAGGACTCATAAATTCAAGAACTCTATACCTATAATTCATCGAATCAGTTACAATGCTCTTTAACCCCTAGAATCTCCCTTCATTTCTTCAGGACGATGGTGAGGTGGGTTCACGATGATCTACTACTCTTGATCAATTGTCCCACGCACCTTCAAATCTTATCATCGTCATCATCATCGCCGGCATCAATTACTTCAGTTCTTGATGGATCCGAAGAAGAAATCCGTAAAAGAAAAGAATACGAATCACGAGGAGAAAGTAAAGATCATTCACTGGGAAGATTTTCAACAGGAGCTTGCTCGTCTTTCGAGTCTGTCGTCCGCCCTTAACGAAGCTAAGGAGAAGAAGTCTTTAATTCAAGAGAAACTTAACTCTCATTTACAGGTAGGTTGAACTTTTACTCCATTCGTGTAATGTCCTGCCTGGTTTATGGAATCGATCGTGATAGATTTGTGATTACTGGATGTTCTTCGATCAACCCAAATTAATTGCCTAGGGTGTCAAAGAAATCAAAGAAGTATTAGGAGTTAATAAATTCCATTCTAGTAATAGAATATCAAGGAAGGAGTCTGAATTTTACAAACCTACAGCTATCTTCAAAAGAATCTTTGCGGAATTCTCCTAAATATAGTTGAATTTTACCATCCCTGATGATCTAGTTATGTTTCAATGCTCTATTGCATGCATTCAACTTCCTAAAACTATCAACCTGACATTGTTCCATTGCCCTTCCTTCCTGGTGTAAAATACTTGGAATGAAATTGTAGCATGAATGACGGGAATGAGGTAGAGATCTTGTTGTTTCTTGATAATTCGATGTTCATAGTTTAAATATATTCGTTGTTTAAGTTTCACACTTGTGCCTGTAACTTTCTTTAGAATTAAGCCGATTCAATTTGCATTATCCTATATTTTATATTAGGATCAATAGAAAACTAGAACCAAAAACAAAAGATGTTAACATCAGGCTTGAATATATACATAATTTAGATAATTCATAATTCCGTGCAAGGATTTGATATTCCACTTTTGGGTTTGATTGCTTCATTAGTCTTGATCAAATGGATCACATTAACAGTGACATGGTCCGATTTGTATCTAGGGTTTTAGTTATCTTATGCACTAAATGATTTCTCTCATTTTCTTACTGGAAATGGTATCATGAGTCTTGTTTTCATACTACTCTATTGCTTTTATCATCTTTCATTCATGGAATAAAATAGCAACACAATTTAATCACTGTGTTAATGTTTTAACAGTTAGAAGAAGAGTCATTAAGTCGATCAAACAAGCTAGATCAGATGCGTGAAAATTTGGAAGCAAGAAAGTTGGTTATGGGAAACATGTCAATGAGGTCAAAAGTTGTACAAGAAAAATCCAAAAAGCAGGAGGAGCAACTTAACTCTCAGATTAGATCTCTTCTCATGGCTGGAACTTCTCTTTCTGTAGCCACTAGAAGCTTGCAGGTATTAATTCATCTTTTTCCCTTTTATTTACTTCAACTTTATCCTCAAAATCAAAAAGGATTTCTCTTTTTTTTTTTGGTCAACCAGGAAGCAAATAATTCACTGAATGGAGAACGAGGGTATGTTCGTCTACAAAATTTGCAGAAGTTGCTGAGAGGGAGGCAACAATTCATGGTGTCACAAATTGCATTGCTTTATCCTGTCAAGGTTGTGAGTGGACATACCTGTGAGCAAGAACTTGAATCATTTTCCAGAAGTAGTAAATCAGGTAATGAAAATATGAAATGATTTTTTCTAATCTTTTTATTAAGTTGATGATAATATTATTTTTACACATTTTTTATGGATTAATGGCAGGAAATCCTTCTGGATCAAAACCCATGGATGCAGGATCTTTGACCATTTCAGGTCTTCATCTAACTGTCCTCCCTTTTAAGAAGCTGAGTTTCTTCACTGATAAAAAAGAAGTACAAAGATCAGCAACTGCTCTTGGTTATGTTGCACATGTATGTTCTTTCTTTTAAAAGTAAAAAAAAAAAATAGAATTGGAATCATTGAAGGGCTAATGCCATAAAAACCCTTAAGTTTTCAGGTTTTTGTCGGTTTTACCCAAAGTTGGATTTTATGTGCGTTTTTGCCCTCATATTTTCCAAAAAATGTTTGGTTTTACCCTTTTACCTGTGACTACAGGTTTTCCAGGTTACCATGATATTAAGAATTAACTTTGCAGAAAAACCCTTAAGTTTACAGTTTTTTTTACGTTTTTACCCTTAAGTTTATAATTTTTTTTACGCTTTTACCCTAAGTGTGTGTGTGTGTGTGTGTGTATATATATATATATATATATATATATATCATATTATACGAATTCATGCAGAAAAATCGTATTTATATATGAAAAAAATGTTTAATTAAATATTATATTTACGTTCTTCTTAGAACCATAAATATGTCTTTTTATGTATTTAAAAGTATATATATCAATCAAAAACATGTTTATATGCAAAAAAACCTGTTCAATCATAAACGTGTTTATATATATATATATATATATATATATATATATATATATATATATAGGGCTGAATTATTGTGCGAATTAAAAATAACGTGTGAACTTGCGAACTCATAATCAACTCATTATTTTTCAACACCAAAAACACCAATTTTCTTCAAATAGTGCGTCTAAACCATATCTAGGCTAAAAAAAAAGATTTGACATTTTTTTTTTATTTTCGAATTTTGCATGTATGCACAATCAACAATCATACAAAAAAACCCAAAAAAAAAAAAAGTCAAATCTTTTTGTTGAGCCTAGATATGGCTTAGACACACCATTTGGAGAAAGATTGGTGTTTTTGGTATTGAAAAATGATGAGCAGATTATGAGTTCGCAAGTTCTCAAAAATCTTTTGATTCTCAAAAGAACTTGTCTCTCTCTCTCTCTCTCTCTCTCTCTCTATATATATATATATATATATATATATATATATATATATATAACATTTAAAAAGAACATAAATACAATATTTAATTAAACATTTTTTTCGTATATAAATATAATACGTATAACATGAAAAAAATATTTAGGGTAAAAGCGTAAAAAAATTATAAACTTAAGGGTACAAACATAAAAAAAAACTGTAAGGTTAAGGGTTTTTTTGCGAAGTTAATATCATGGTAACTTGTAATCACCACGGGTAAAATGGTAAACAGAACGTTTTTTTGGAAAATGTTAGGCAAAAACGGACATAAAATCAAACTTTGGGCAAAACCGACCAAAACCTGAAAACTCAAGGGTTTATATGGCATCAGCCCATGATTGAATGGTTTATTTATTTATATGTTGATTCATGTTTTGCAGGCTGTTTCCCTAATTGCTTTCTATTTAGAAATTCCTTTGAGATACCCTTTACGATTAGGAGGCTCACGTACATATATTTGCGATTATGCCCCTTCAGTGGAGCCCACTTCATCTGATTTCACATCAATCTCTTTATCTTCCTCAACTTCAAAGCCCATGGAGTTTCCACTCTTCTTGGAAGGCCAAGACACAACAAGATCAGCTTATGCTGTATTTCTACTAAACAAGGTTTGAATTTGTGGATTATTATTTTCATTTATACTTTCAATGTTTTTCTCATTAAGATTATATATTTATTGTGTTTGAAATTTGATTGAATTTCTCACATGGACATAGGATCTGGAGCAGCTGTTGAACTTTATAGGGATTGAAAGCTTAGGGCCACGACACGTGCTGGCTAATATGAAAGAGCTTCTAAACAACATCCTCTCAACAGAATATATCAATTCATAACCATTGCTTCCTTTTTTTTTTTGTAAGTTTATTGTACATGGTTTCTTTATTTTCTATTTTATTACAAACGGTGCTTGTTTTATTTTTTCCCCATGGAGCACCTTTTGATCAACATATAATATGTAATCACTCTTTCAATCTTTGTGCTAGTTATCTTTCTATTCAATGATGAGGCCATTTACCTGTTTTCCGTATTCAAAAGATATTTAATCTATACTATTAACCTAGGAATAGGATGAAATAAGTTTTAATGACGGCTTTTGAATTTTGATATTGAAAAATCTTGTTCAAATATCTTTTAGGATCAGTTAGATAATTAGATGTGATATGGATAATTCTATTTACGGGTAGTGAGTTTTATGGAGGTTGAGTAATGAAGATGGAAATGATTTTGTTGGGAAGAAGATGATGGTGGAGTGTGGTCTTCGCTGGATGTATATGAAAAGAATTACAACCAAGTTCAACAATAAGTTTCTAACCAACCATTATAAAAATACAATAAAAATGCAAGTAGAATATGTAAAAAGTTGAAGGATAGAAGATTCAAACAAAATATAATGATTATAGTAGTTTCCTTCCCTAACAAGGGGGTCTTTGGGATTTCTTTTTAAATTTTTAAAAGGATTTTTGACTCAAGGATTTATTGGCTTATACTTTTTCCAAAAAGAGTTTTAAAAAACTGGTTGGATTAGCTATTATAATGGGAAAAATCAATAAATTAAAAAGTATTTGACTAATATATATATATATATATATCTATATATATATATATATATATATATATATATATATATAATGACTTATTGACTTATAACTTTTCTAAAAAACCAATATTTGTAACTTTTTGAAAGTCACTTCTTCAATCTTATCAAAAAGCCAAATTCTGTTTTTCAATGTTATCAAAAAGCCAAATTCTGTTTTTCAATGTTATCAAAAAGCCAAATTAAAAAGTTTTTTTCTCCTAACTAAACACTTTTTTTAACTTATTGTTTTTCTAAAAACTAATAAATTAATAAGTTGTTTCAAAGATAGTCCCAAACACATCCACTTCTCCATTGTCACCAACTTAACTTTACTATTATCTCGTGCATCGGAGGAGAAATATCAAACGTCTGCTATAACATGGGAAATATATATGGATTTATTTATATAAAACTCCTTGCAAGATATAATATGAAGTATGTAAGACCATCTACATGCTATAACATGAGAAATATATATGGATTTATTTATGTAAAACTCCTTGCAAGATATAATATGAAGTATGTAAGACCATCCACACCGGTGTGCAAATGTTCTTGCAAATGGGTTTTCATTGCCATATATGATTTGATCTTGCAAGTTTAGAAAGGCTTGCAAATGTATTCTTTTTTTATTATATATCCATATTATTTCTAATGCCTACACACACAAATATATATTTTAAGATATATAAAACATTTTTTTTTTAATTTTTAGTGGGACCATTTTAAAGAAAATGTTAGTATTATAATAATTAAATTTATATATATATATATATATATATATATATATATATATATATATATATAAAGTAATTGTTGACGTGGCAATGATAACCACTTTTGAAAGATGAGTGTTATTGTACTGATGTAAGTAGTCACTGCAAAACTGATAAACTGATGTCACATAATTGAAAGATTAGTGACATTACACTGATATGGATGACCTAAGTAGTGTTTGATGATATATAATGTTGACTTAGCAAACCGATGGCTGCAACTTGTTTTCAAACTTAAGAACTCAAATATTTTTCCCCATGCTCTTTTACACAAACAAGTTTATACCTTGGATAAAACCAACATTTTTATTAAAGTTTAACTTATATTTTACAAATTACTCCACTAAATATTTACATTTTTTTTTGCAAAGTAATAACATATGAGAATATTAATCATAATGTGAGATATGATATTCCTGTTGAATTAGGTGTCTAAACCTATAACTATAATTGATATATACTTGAATTGATAGTAGTACAGTCCTTTTGAGTTGCCCTTAAGACTAGCAACTAGACATGATGATTTTTAGAGAGCGAGGTTGATTTATTATTTGATTAATAAATTGAAATAAATAATTTGTTAATATATTATGAGAATAATATATTAATTATAAATAGTAATATTTAATTAATATTTAACCCTAAATTAATTGGAATTAATTTTGGGATTAAAAGAATTAATCAAAAGTGCAGGGACTGAAGTGCAATTGTTTAATAGTTGAGCAAGAGGTAAGATTCTAGAATTATCCATGGTGTATAATCAGGAAGGTGGATAATACCCAGTTTAAAATAATCTTGGATTTGGGCTTATTTAGGGTTTCCTGACTGCACTATAAGTAGAGCCTCAACCCTAGAATTTTCGGTTACTCATTCTTTTGAAGAGCTAGCCGAATTTTCCAAGCCCCCCTCTTCTCTCTCAATCTTCTCCCTTGGCTTGTGTTGGGTGTGGACCACTAGAGGCGTGACATTTGTGACACTTGCTCTCAAGGCTTCAACAACACACAGATTGTTTATTGTTATTACTAAATAGCAATCAAGGTATGTTTCTCCTAACCCTATTTGTATTTTTCGAAAATATGCTAGTGTTATAGGGTTTCTACATTGTTGTTCAAAGTTGTATGTTCAATAAGAGAAAACATAGATCAAGTATTAGGTTTGCATGCACACATATGAATTATATGTTTTTCATAATACTCATCAGTGGTATTAGAGCGTAGGTTTAGTTTTCTATTGAATTGATACAATCGTTGAACTTGAAAAAGGAGAAGTAAAACAGAATCGTCATTCTGTTCTGCCACCACGGCGTGGTGGCTTTCACCACGACGTGGTGAGCTACGATTTTGCTCTACCACGACGTGGTATTTGTTTACCACGAAGTGGTAGACTGTCAGATCCATAAAATTCGGTTTTATTGTTATCTCATGAATTGATTAGGATAATTACCTTTAATAATGTTTTAATTGTATAAAACTGAGTATTTTTTTAAGTAATTTGATATCCTTATCTTGAATTCATGATTGGTTTATTTTTAAATTAAAAATTAATTTCTTAATTTTTCAAAATTTAAAATATGACCTAGTATTTTTGAAAAGATTTTAAAAATACCCCATTACACTATATGTAACATTAAAAGTCTAATATTTCTATATGTATAATACAAGTCAGTCAAACTACTAGTACGCCTCATTCACAAATCCGATCTATAAGGGGGGTATAAGGAAACTGCCTATAAAATGACGGTTGAATGAGTGTCCACTCTCACCCAACGCTTCCTTGATTGTGGAGGGTTGTTAGCCGAACGGGTTTGATAGGACAAACAAATCCTCATTAATAAGTATAATGAATTATAAAGTAACTAAACTTATTTAAAAAAAAATTCTCAATCTTAGTTATTTAGGGAAAATGTGAACTTGTATGCTAACCCATGAAATTGCACATTGCACTTTATAAGTCGTTAGTGGAGCGCGTTTGGTTAATCGGCACACTAATAGGGAGTAATAAATAGTGGCAATGAGTGTCTCGTAAATTATCATTGATTAATGGAGCGCGTGTGGCTAATCGACACATTAAAATGTGATGATAAATGACATCGAGAGTACCAAGCTAATTTGCATGATTATTCACATCTTGTTTGTGATCCTCAATATCCCAGTAACAAATGTAAGAGCATAATCGAGATTAAACATGCCATTGAAAAGTTCAATGAATCTAAAAAAGATCTAGGAATTTCATTAAAAAACCAAATTCGTTCAAATTTCGTTTTTCAATGGTGAAATTGGTATATTGTCATTTACCTACCTTTATATAATTTACAATTAGATTACGACATTCCTTTTCTGAGTTGTGAATTATTTAGTTGGATCCTAGCTTTGATATTTCATTTTGGGTGTTACATTGAGGATTATTCTTATCTAAGTAAAATTATCCTTCTTCTCTTTCAGATGTCTACTCCAACTGATGCTTCTGGTTCCTCCTCCCCCTCCAACGACAACAAGTTCTCATTGTTGAACATCTGTTCGAAGGTGCAATTGGATGACACCAACCACAACGATTGGATGTGCAACATCAAAATGGCCCTTCGTTTTGAGGACAAGGAATATGTCCTCAAAAAATCATCGGATGAAATTGACGAACAGAAGGCCACTCCTGAAGAAATGGTCACCTACAAGAAACACTATAATGATGCCACAAAAGTTGCGTGTATCATGGTGGCGACAATGACTCCAGAATTGCAAAGTCACTATGAGGATTACTGGCCGTACGAGATAAACAAGGACCTTATGGAGAGATACCATAAGCGAGCTCGTGAAGAAAAGTACGAGGTGGTAAAGTCTCTCATTTCTATCAAGATGAAGGAGGGTGAGTTTGTTAGTAGCCACGTTCAGAGAATGCAACGATACGTGGATAAGCTAATCAAACTCAACATGAATTTTGATGAAGAGTTGGCAATCGACATAGTGTTGAACTCTCTGTCAAGTTGTTATGATCAGTTCATATTGACCTATCATTTAAACAACAATGAAACTACATTGTCACAATTGCACAACCTCCTACGAACAACTGAAGCAAGAATGAAGGGAAATGGTATTGCCTCCACTCCTACTAGTGCACCTGTTCTGGCCATAGGTCAAGGGAAAGGGAGGAAAAGGAAATGTCCTCCAAAGAAAAACTAGAAGGAAAGTCCCAAGCTGGGTCGTCAAGTACAGGACGCAAAGGAAAGTCCAGTTCTGATGCTCCCCCTGTTTCTGATCGCAAGGGGGGCACTTGCTTCTATTGCAATGACAAGGGGCATTGAAAACGAAGCTGCCCAAAATACTTGCAGGACATCAAGGATGGCAAAGTGAAGCCGACCTCGGCAGGTATTTACACTATCTTATCTAATAACTCATCGTATTCTCGTTCTTGGGTCCTTGATACAGGATGTGGATTTCACATTTGTTCTGATTTGTAGGGGATAAAAAGAAGTGAGGATATGGTGCATGGAAGGATGAACTTAATCATGAGGAATAGGCAATCTTCACCTGTCACCAAGATTAGAGTTTATGGCTTAGTGCTTAGTAGTGGGTTAGGTTTAGATTTAATAAACTATTTCTACTCATCAGAGATGACACGAAACATCGTTTCATCTCAT